CCTCAGGGAGTCACAGTTATTGTTAGCTACAGGGAGGTGGCTGAAAATTCTGGAACTTCTCCTTGCCCTTGGGCCAGCCTCTCTGGGGAACAGCAGGGAAATGTTTGGGGGAAATCGGACCATCTCTGACCCACGGGAACAGAGCAGGAGGATAGTGATGGGGACCCTGGGGTCGCTTGTGTTGCTAGACCATGTCAGCAGAGCAGGTTGGTGGCAGCAGGAGTCAGTGCCTCTGGGTACTCCAGACCCTATATTCTGGATGGGCCCCGAAGGACATCTCTGACGTCTCCAGGGTATGTCATGAGTGTGTATCAGGCATGCTCTGTGAAAAGCAGGCAAAGTCTCATTCTTCCCCACTCACAGCGTGACACTGCCCCTGCTTGGTGTCAGTGGAGGGAAAGGAAGTGCCAGGCATTGAGCTAGGGAGGCCGCGAAGGGACAGATGGTATCAAGACAGACAGCAGCCATGCCCAAGTAGCTCCTAGCCTGCGTGGTACAAAAACTGGTCTTCAGTGTTTGCAGACTCTGTTCCAACTTCAGGGCATTGTCTCACTGAGGCCTTAGGTCAACTCTGATCTGGGTGCATGAAGACTGTCTTACACACAAGGGAGAGGCAGCTGAAGTGACTCGTGGGCAGCCTCTGGGGGCTAAATCTATCCACCTCTGGTCTTCACGCTCTTGTTTGAGATGGGGTCTTGCTGCATAGGCCCCAATGGCCTGGAACTCACTATGTAGACAAGACTGGCTTCAAAGTTGCATCCATTCTCCTGCCTCTGCCTCCCAAGCACCACATCTGGCTTTGTCTTCCCATTTTTTAAAATAATTTTTACTTCATGTGCATTTGTATTTTGCCTGCATGCATGTCTGTGTGAAGGTGTCCAATCCCCTTGCAACTGGAGTTACAGGCAGCTATGAGCTGCCATCAAGTAGGTGCTGGGAATTGAACCTGGGTCCTCTGGAAGAGCAGCCAGTGCTCTTAACCCCTGGGCCATCTCTCCAGCCCCTGTCTTCACATACTTATGGAACCCTTTACTATGTCTGTGCAGGCTGGATGTTTTTTTTTGGGGGGGGGATTGGCTTGGGATGGATAGAACGAGGCCCAAGTATGAAATATAAGCTTGGAGAGTGGGTCACAAAGAGACATGGCCTGCTTGTGGGTGCTCTCTTGGGCTATTCAGCTGGAGAAGCCAGCCAGCTGCCACACCATGAGGGCAGCTTGTGGAGATGAGATGTCCAAGTAACAGAGCTTGGAATTAGTCTCCCAGTTGAGCTCTGAGGTGACCATGACCTTGTGAGACTCCCGCCCTCAAGCGAAACTGCTCTCAGATTTCCTGAGAGCGAGCTGTGGTGCTGAGCTAGCAGGAGACAGCTAACACACTTGTCCGTGCTCGCACAGCCTGCCTGGGATAAGGCTGGCATCGGCGCTCAGGTAGGCCTGACTTCAAAGTTCATGCTGCTGTTGTCCTTTGGTGCTGGACTCAAACTCAAGACCCCAGGGATGCTGAGCCACTCTGAAGCTCCACTGGCAGCCCTTCAAAGTCCATGGTTTAGTTCCTATACATACTGCTTCCCCTGACATGTAAAAGAAAGTCATCCCACCCCGAGTGAAGATAACACTAAGAGCAAAGTAGCCAGCTCTACCTCAGTTTCCTCACATGCAAAATCAGCTGATGCTGGTAATAACCAAATTCATAAGGTTGTTGGGACGATGAAACACATTTAGTTCCATGAAGGTCTTTGGAGATAATAAACATTCAGTAAGAATTAACTGTTAGCTGGACATAGTGGCAATGCCTGTAATCTCAGCCACTTGAACCTTTTGGGAGGCTGAGGCAGAAAGACCTTGAGTTCAAGGCCAGCCTAAGCTATTACACAGTGAAATGCTAGATAAATAAGGGGGGGGGAGAGAATTCATTATTGTTTTTGTTTTTAAAGATTTATCTTTATTTTGTGTCTATGAGTGTGTGCTTGCACACGTGTGTGTGTGTGTGTGTGTGTGTGTGTGTGTGTGTTCATACCACGTACATGCCTGATGCCCATAGATGCCAGAAGAAGGTGCCAAATCCTCCGGAACTGGTTTTAGACATTTTCGAGCTGTCATGTGGGAGCTGGGAACCAAACCCAGGTCCTCTGCAAGAGCAGCTAGTGCTCATAACCACCAAGCCGTCTCTCCAGCCCCAAGTTAATTGTTTCTAGTACTAGATGAAGTGATGTGCACAGACATTAAGTGAATTAAAATTGATTCAAGCCCGTGACAAACCAGTACGGTGATGATCACGGTACTGCCGTCACCATGGACAGGACCAGAGGAACTGGCAGGGTGTCCAGCTTGTACTAGAACCTTAATAAATGGCTGCACAGTGCCTGGTACACACAGCATCCATCCATCATACCTGGAACACTGCTCAACACACAAACATACATACATACATACTTGAAACACTCCACTCCTTAACACACACACACACACATACATACTTGGCACACTCCACACACACACACACACACACACACACACACACACACACACACACACACACACAAATGCTTTCAAGGAGGCAGGAGGAAAGAGAGTAGCCAGGAGATGCTGTCCCAGCACACTCTGCTGACCCCACTCCCTGGATCACTCCTCAACCCCCTGCTCTGGGGTCTGGGAGCCAGTTGGAGATTATGGGTGGGGAAGGCAGAGGAGTTAGGGTCCGTGGGAAATCCGAGGCGAGGCCCGGTCCTGGTGCCGGAGAATGTGGTCCTGCAGAGCTCACCCAGGCCCCTTACACTGGCCACTAGCAGGACCTTCAACCCTCCAAAGAGAGGATTATGTTAACAATCCCAGGAAGGGAATTTGTTCCATGGGCCTCCCAGATCCCTGGGGCAGGGAGGCTTAATGAGTCCCAGCACATAGGGCACTGCCGTTTCCCTTCCAGTTGGATCTTTCTTGCAATCGCACTGTTTGTGCTCCAACTGCACTCCAAAAGAAATAAACGAGTAAATAACACAAAAAAGATGGGCCTGGCTCCACGGCCCTCTGTGGGAATGTTTGGGGAAAATGTGATGACCATCTTAGTTCAAAGATTCGGAGATTTGCGGAACATGTTTGTACAAATCCCTCTGCCAACTTCTCCTTGAGTGTTTTTGGCTTGCGGAGTACCAAATATCATACAGAAAAAATAAGGACCTCACAGCCACCCATGAGACTGGAATACACGCATAAAAATACATCTCTGAATCAGACACAGTGGCGCCGTTTGAGGTCTCAGCTGTTCCAGAGGTTGAAGCAGGATTGTGTTCACGAGTTCAAGACTAGCCTGGTGACACAGTGAGCCCTCCATCTTTAAATCAACCAATCTGTAGAGTCTCTCCAGAACATACAGGTCATCATTTCCATTGAGATCCAACAGTGTTGCCAGTGAACTTCATGTCGGGAAAGATGTGGGCTGAGGTCCTTTTCTGGGGGGAGCCACATCCCTTGGCTGCCATCTTTTTATACACAAAGTGTTCCATTTGACCTGATCAGTTTTCAATTTGGGTTCCTGGGGTTACCCTGGTCGGTGGGAACACCCACCTCTTACATCAATCAGAGCTGCTCCCCTTTTGCCAGTGTGCCAGGCTTTTTCTTTTAGGCCACCAACCCACTCCCAAATCATGACACTGACTTATTAGTTATGAATGCTCAGCCTAGCTTAGGCTTGTTTCTGGCTCTTTTAACTTAAATTAGCCTGCTTCTCTTTATCAGTCTTTTGCTTCAGGGCTTGTTACCTTTCTTACTGTTTATCTTACTTTCCCTGCTTCTCAGACTGGCATCTGCCTGGCTTCTTGTCCCAGGCACGTCCTTGTTCTCTCCTTCTCTTATTCTTTCTTCTCTTCTTTTTTTCCTCTGGAGCCGAGATTGCTCGTCCTATTTATTCTCTCTGCCTGCCAGCCCCGCCTATCCCTCTCCTGCCTCGCTATTGGCCATTCAGCTTTTTATTAGACCAATCAGGTGCCTTAGGCAGGCAAGGTGAAACAAATGCAACACACCTTTACATAATTAAACAAATGCAGCATAAACGAAAGTAACACACCTTTACACGGTTAAAGTAATATTCTGCAGCAAAAACAAATGTAAAACGTCTTTGCATAGTTAAAATAATATTCCACAGCATGTTCAGGATCTTACTTTTTGGAAAAGGGATTTTGCTACTTAGAAAAAAGTAATGACCTGACTTCATGTCCAGTGCTCCCCACCACCATTTTTTAAATTTGTTTTCTAGTTTGTTGGTTTGTGTTTTGTTTTGTTTTTGTTTTTTTGAGACAGATTACCGTGTAGCCTCAGCTGGCCTGGTTTTTACTACTTAGCTCAAATGAACCTTCAACTCAAGACAACCTCAGCCTTGGAAATGCTAGGTCTACAGGTGCATGCCACCACACCCGGCTTTGAAATCCTCTTTACTGGATGACCTCTAAGGTCCTGTCTAGTACTGATACCGCTAGATCACGTTACTAACTCAGAGGAGAGTGAGGGTTAACACGGCATCTGAGCTGTAGCAACCAGGCTCGCAGACCTTCCCTGACCACAAAGAGCATAAGAGAACCACTGCGACCATTTAACTGGAAGGGAAGCTGTGGAGTTCTGCTCTGTGGGGACCTTTAAGAAGAGCAGAAGGGCTTGGAGGAGGGAGACACTGCCAGGGCAGGGCTTCTTCCGTGGCTGGAGGATTCCAGCGGCCTGTGAAATTCCTACAAGAGCTGAGCAATTCCTAAATGGGGAAAGGCCTGGCAAGTGACAAGGCAGGCCGTTCCTCAGTTTCTTCCTTCCCCTGGCATGCACTCCTCCCAGCCCTCCAACCCTTGCTGTTTACTGAATGCTCTTTCTATGGTGCATCAAACCCAGCTGGGAGGCAGGGGGACAAGGCAAGTCCCTGTACCGATGGGGGGCGGGAGGGGGGTACAAACCTCACAGGCACCTTCAATGGCATTGCATGAGCTCTAAAGATAAAATACAGATTCAGGGGGGCGGTCACTTGGAGTTAAACCCAGATGGCACAGGGCTGGGCTTCCAGGAGATGGAGGACTTGAGAAGATCCGGAAGAGAGAATTAGACAGAAGAGAGGAACGCACCAGTGACAGCAAGGCCGTAGGTGGTTAAGCTCAGGGTGTGGAAGACTGAGGACTCCCCTCAGGCCCAGCCCAGGGCCTCACCTGAAGCCTTCACTACAGCTCCATGAGGCCGGCCATCACGGGCAATGTGCCTCTGGCCAGGAATAGTTGATGCTTTGCCCTCTCACCCAGAGCCCCGGGGGAACACAGAGTGCACAAAGCCCTGATTGGCTCACCTGGCAGGATCGGCGAATGTCACCTGCGTCTCTTGCAGTGGACTGGTGCTCAGCACCCAGAGACTGTCTTCAAATGATGCTCAGGATGTCTGTCTCACGGCTGATGAGACAGACGGTCACAGACAGGCTGGCGCAGGACAGTGCAGATTTCAAACAGGAACTACCCTTTACCAGCTGCGAGTCTTCCCAAATCCCCTGCCACAGTGTCAGGCCCTCTCCACCCGAGCATAATTGCTCCTGCCTCAGGAGGGCTGGAATGAGGATGAGCAGGGAGTCGCCAAAGTGCCTGCTTGGGAGCTGTCAGGTGATACGCTATCACTGAAGGACCCAAGACTACAGCCTGGAGACAATTTTGGTGTGTAGAGAGCTGGTTGGGTCGTAGGGAGAAAGGGTCAAGGATTCCCGGTCTCCAAAGGGCTTCCTCCTTGGAGGGTCTGACCACTGTAGGGTAGCCTTCCCAAGGAAGGAGGCTAGCAATTGGTACATATTAGGAGCCCAAGCTTACGGTAAGTGGAGGAAATGCCCACCGAGTGATGTACCGGGTAAGGGTGTGCTGGGGACGAGGGCGTATTAGAAGCCTGAGGCTTGTTCTCGTCAGGATTCTAGCGCTGTGAGGAACATGTGACCAAAAGCAACTTGGGGAGGAAAGGGTTAATGTCATCTTACCGCTTCCAGCCCATTGCAAAGAGAAATCAGTCATGGCAGAAACGGAATCAGAGGCCAGAGAGGAACGCCACTCACCGGCCTGCTCAGCCTTTCTTCTACACCCGGAGACCACCTGCCCAGCGGTGACACCACCCACCGGGAGCTGGGCCCTCCCACATCAATCATGAGTCAAGAAAATGCCCCACAGATGGTCTACAGGCCAATCTGAGGAAGGCAATTTTCAACTGAGGTTCCCTCTTCCAAGACAGCTCTTGCTTGTGTCGAGTAGACAGAAACCAACTAGCACCAGATTGGACCTTCAGAAGCTCTCAGGGCCCCACAGGCTCTTCTTCCTGCTCTGTCAGCCTTCCAGCACGGCTACAGAGCCTGCCTGGCTTCGCTCGCTGCTGCGGCTTCTGCCTCCTCTCAGGTCCCTGTGGTGTTTGTCACTGTAGAAACCAAGGACAACAGAGGCAGGACAGGAGACGGCGAAGGTGAGGGTGGCCAACGGGTGGTTCATGAGCACACTGGATGCGGGAGGGAGGCTGGTGGGGGTGCGGGATACACCACCCTATTGGACTAAATTCAGACACGTGGCTGGGACTCCGAGAGCCTTCCAGCCAAGCCCCAGATGCAGAGCCGGGTGACTTCTGCCCCAGACCGAGAGAGGGAATGATCCTTTGGGAGACTTCGGGAAGTGTGTGCATAATCTGTTAAATGGCACTTAGCAGGGGCTCCGTGTGGTCCTGAAGTTGGTGAGACACTGAGTCCAGCCCAGCAGGTGCTGGGGACAACATGACCCTAACCAGCAGCAGAGGCAAGGGCCACTCTGGTCAGGGTTCCTCGTGGTCTTGGCAGCCTTCCAGGACGCTGGGGACTGGGGTGAGCGCTTACCTGGATATCATTAGGTGGGATTCAATCCCACACGACTACTGACACTTGCCTCTTGTGTCTTAGCTGTCCGTTGCCCCTGAGCAGCCCAGGATCTGTCCCTGTCCCCAAGGGGACATCCAGCTATTCTATCGGGTCTCCTTTGTCCTTCAGGGTGCCTCCTTCACTCAATGTATCAATTAGTATTTGTGCCCCTCCTCCAGGTAGCAGCCATTTACCCAGTGCCAGCGAGAGAGAGGCGATGGCCAGCTAAACCCAAGGGCTAACCAAAACATCCACTTAGGAGGACAAGAAAACTTTCTCCATGATCTCACAAACATGTCATGGCTCATAACCAAAATACCTTTGTAGGGCACAAAAACCATTTTGAGACTAGAGAGAGATGGCTAGGTAGCAAAGAGCGCATCTTTTTGCTTTTGCCAAACACTGGAGTTTGGCTGCCAGCACCCGCGCTGAATAGCTCACAGCTGCCTGTAACTCCAGTTCCAGTGAATCTGTCATCCTCTTCTGACATCCTCAGGCACTTGTATACACGTGGCACACACACACAGAGGCACACATGCATAAATAAAAACAAAATAAATATCTTAAAAAGCACCTTAAAAAAAGAATAACACAAATAAGTGTTGTGGAATATTATTTAACTATGTAAAGATGTGTTACACTTGCTTATGCTGCGGAATATTACTTTAACTGTGTAAAGGTGTGTTACTTTCGTGTATGCTGCATTTGTTTAATTATGTAAAGATGTGTTACATTTGTTGCACCTTGCCTGCCTAAGGCACCTGATTGGTCTAATAAAAAGCTGAACGGCCAATAGCGAGGCAGGAGAGGGATAGGAGGGGCTGGCAGGTAGAGAGAATAAATAGGAGGAGAAACATGGGCTCAAGAGGGGAACAAGAGAAGAAGGGAGGAGAGAATGAGAGAGAAAGAGGGGACATGCCCTCGGGCTGGCCAGACAGACAGGCAGACACGGAAGAAGCAGGAAAAGTAGAACATTCAGAAAGAAAAGGCAAAAAGCTCTGAGGCAAAAGGTAGATAAAGAGAAACGGGTTAATTTAAGTTAAAAGAGCTAGCCAGAAACGAGTGTAAGCTAGGCCGAGCATTCATAACTGATAGTCGATCTCTGTGTCATGATTTGGGAGCTGGTTGGTGACCCAAAAGAAAAAGCTTGCTACAAACAAGATTTTGTTGTTGATCTACAGGAGCCGGCAGGCTGGTAGAAGAACACGCCTCACTCCAGCTCACTGCAACAGTACCAGGTAACGATGGAAGGCTTCGGAAGGTTGTGGGAGCAGATGTGTGGGCAGTCCCTTTTGTGTGGGTGAGGACAGAGGGTGTTCTGAACCATTTTTGCTTCGTTGCGTGCTGAGAGGTGAGGGAATGATGAGAACTAACCTTTGCTGAGCACGTCCGTGGCAGGCCCTGAGAGCGGCGTGTGTGCCATTATGTAATCCTCACCGACATGGTGCGTCAGGTGCTCTGGAGCCCATTTTGTGGAAGGAAACATTGAGGAGAGAGAGTCTGTGCTGTGTCCCACCCGAGGAGATCCTACTAGTGCTAACTATCAGTACCTGTCCATTGGCTTCTGTGCCTTTCCTTGGCAGAGGTTCTACTTTCCAGGTTCCCGTGTTTGCATTTTCATTGTGGTTTCATTGACCTGTGGTCAACAGCAATCTACAAGTAATAAATAGAATATTTCAGAAATAAACAATTCATAGGTTTGGGAGTGTGTGTGTGTGTGTGTGTGTGTGTGTGTGTGTGTGTATAGAGCTGGTGTTGGCACTGAGGGATAGACCCGAGAGCCTTCCAAACGTTAGGTGAGCACTCTACCACTGAGATACAGCTGTTTTCACTTTTTATTTTGAGAAGGATGTCACCAAGCAGGCCAGGCAGTCTTTGAAATGTTGATCCTCCTGCCTCTGGCTTCTGAATAACTGGGATTGCAGCCTGGTGCTTCCAGGCCTGGCTACAATTCATACATTTTATATTGTACTTTATTCATGATAGCAAGTTGAAATCTTGCGCCCCCCTCCTCTGTCCTGCCCAGATGATGAATGCTCCCTTTGTGCAGCGTCTGGACCACCCTCTCATTACTTACCAGTAGGCATCTAACTTATCAGATAGACTTTCAGGAAACCACAATGGAATAGTCTTTATTTTATACTTAGCCATGGCCCCAGGGCCTAAGAGTGAGGCACTTTTACTAGAGTATGTTGCCATTGTTTTTCTTTTTCTATTAGTTACTTTTTGTTGAGCTCTTAAGTGTCTGATTTATAGATGGACTTTTATTACAGGTATGTATTTACAGGAAAATAGTACATATAAGCTCCTGGTGTTGGGTATCTACTGGGCAGGGGTCTTAAAATGTATCTTCCATAAATAAAGGGGGTGACTATTTGAAAATGTGGTAGTACCCTGACAGGCAACTTAAGGGACAAAGGCTTCATTTTGGTTCACAGTTCAAGGTCCAGTGGGGACATCAAGGCAGGAGGAGCTGGGAGCAGCTGGCCATATCACATCCACAATCAGGAAACAGAGGACAGTGTATGCATGCCAGTGCTCAGCTGGCTTTTCCCACTTCATACCGTCCAGATTGCCCTAACCTGGGAATGGTCTCCCATATATACAGGGCTTCTCCCATATATACAGTAGCCCTGGCTGTCCTGGAACTCGCTGTGCAGGCCAGACTCACAGAGACTCGCCTGCCTTTGTTGGGATTAAAGGCATGTACCGCCACTGCCAGGCTGGCCCCACCTATAATTAAGATGGGTCTTAATTCCCAGTCAATGAACACAACCAGGACACCTCCACAGGTAGGCCCGGTAGCCCATCTCCCAGGTGACTCTAGATTCTGTTGACAATGCTCAAGAGCTACCACAGAGGTCTACAAATATCACTAATGACTGAAGTGTTATGTTAGTTAGCATCTTAAAATATGCAGATCGTGGTGGGTCTCAGGAGACCCAGGGACTGGTACTCAGGTACAAGTACAAAAGTAGCTGCATCCGGAAGCCAAGTCCCTTCCTGTCGGGTAAGGTCGAACCAGGTGACCAAACAGAGAAGGGGCAGGGACTTGGGTGTTGTGTTTCTCAGAGGTCACAAAGGAAGGGAAAGTTCATCCTTGAAATTCTTGCGTTCTCTGTGTCATCCAGAGCTTCCCTTGAAGCCCAGAGAGGCCACTGGCCTCCTGTTTGGGCCTTGCTGTCAGTGGTGGCCATTGGTGACCAAATGGTTCACTGTAGCCAGAAATCATTCAGGATGTCACAGGTGGGGCTGGGAGCTCCCTTCGGGGTTTGTAGCCGTGTAACGGCAAGGCAGTTAGTGAACTCTCAAAGGGCACAGGTTCTGCCGTTCACGTGCCAGGTAACTTTGGGTGGGTTTTCGCCTTTCTGTGCCTCAGTGTCCTCATCTGTAGAATGGGAGTCTGACAGGACTGACTTTGGAGAGTGCTGGGAGAGCCAGGCAAATGAATATTCATGAGGAACATGAACAGTGCTCGGCATAGTAAGGGTTAAACAGTAGCATGATGCTCCTTGGGCCTCTCTGCGCATGAGGGCTGTATGTGGGGAGTCCCTCTGCCTTTGGAATGTGGGCCCACGGAAGAGGCTCCTCAGTCTTCCTTTGACCCATGAAACAAGCTTTAATGAGGTGACCAAGGCCTTCCCTGAGGAAGGAGAGCTCTTTTGTTTTCTAGGATAGGGTCTCATGTAGCCCAGGCTGGCTTTCACGCTCACTATACAGCTAAGGATGCCCTTGAACTTCCAATCCTTGTGCTTCTGCCATTACAGGTGTGAGCTGCCATGACAAGTTTATGCTGGGGATCGAACCCAGGGACTTGTACATGGTAGGCAGGCAATCTACCATCTGAGCTACATCCCCAGCCCTCACCCATCTCTTCTTTCTATTATTCTAGGGATCCTGTCATTTACCTAGCCCTTTTGTTCCTGGCCTTCTCATGTTGACAGTAAGGATAAAGTTTGAGGATGAGAAGGGGTCCCTTGGACCAGAGCCTTGCTTAATCCAGTCCACCTTGAGGGACCTGGTAGTCGTGTATTTTGTTGTTGTTTTTCAAGACAGGGTTTTTCTGTGTAGTTTTGGTGCCTGTCCTGGATCTCACTCTCTAGACCAGGCTGGCCTCGAACTAACAGAGATCCGCCTGGCTCTGCCTCATGAGTGCTGGGATTAAAGGCGTGCGCCACCACCGCCCGGCTGTAGTGTTGTTTTTTAAAATATGTATAGGTGCCATTTCTGCATGAATGTCTGTGCACCGTGTGTGACTTGGTACCTGAGGGTCAAGCAGAGGGTGTTGGATCCCCTGGAACTGGAGTTACAGGTAGTTGTGAGCAGCCATATTGGCGGTGGGAATGGAATCCTGATTCTCTGCAAGAGCAGCAGACACTCTTAACTGCCAGTCCATCTCTCCCCACCATGATGACAATGCCCTGAATCTCTGAAACTGTAAGCCAGCCCCCAGTGAAATGCTTTCGTAAGAGTTGCCTTGGTCATGGTGTCTCTTCACAGCAACGGAATGGTGACTAAGACACATGGTCACCTCTAGACTCCTCTGAGGGGCAGTCTGTGTACAGGAGCCGTTCCATGGAACCTGGGTAAGGACAGACAGGGCTTCCTTCAGGCCTGCATGGGAGACAGCAGACTCTGCTTAGCTCTTCCCTGAGGCAAGTGCAAGCATCCTTGGCTAAAAATGAGCTAGGCAATGTCAAGCCAACCCTCACAGATACCCTGCATTTTTTATTCCCATTTCATGTGTAACAGAGGCTGAAAGAAAGCGGTGAGAGCAGAAAGTGGAGAAGAAACCCAACCCAGGCCTGACTCCAAGGCAGCACACCACTCTAACCCCCGAAGAACCAGGCAGGGTTGGGGAGGTTGGTGCTGGGCTAAAATAGAATGGCACAAGCAATAATATAGGGCACAGAAGCGGGCGTGAGGAGCAGAGAGAGAGAACCTCAGAAGACTGAAGGACACAGAGAATGAGAACTAAAAGACATGAGGAAATAATCAGGCCCTCCTGCATGTCCCTATGCCTCTCATTACCTGCTGCCATAAAAGGCCCAGGATGTGTGGGCTGCCTGTCCCCAGAACCTTGTCAGCCACAAGGCACATATGAGCAATGAAGTCTGATGAGGTGGTCCCCTCTCTCAAAATGACAGGTGTCTACTTCCCCGGGGAGGCACTGTGGAGGGAAGGGGCCTGGAGTGACAGGAACGCCACATCTTTCTTCAAGAAAAGCAGGAAATTAATTTTTTAAAAATGTGATCTCTCATAATTTTAAAATGAAAAAAAATATTTTAGAGGAAAAAAAATAAAAGCTGCCGGTAGGCAGTAGGTACAGTTAAGCTTTGGTATATTTGTTCATATGAGGGTCTCGTGGCTAGTTGGGGAGTTGATGTAGGGTTCCTAAAGACCATAGGAGGGCACCGTGTGTGTGTGTGTGTGTGTGTGTGTGTGTGTGTGTGTGTGTGTGTGTGTGTGTGTGTGTGTTTAGAAAAATGAGGGCCATGAGGTTCTCAGACTTTCAGAGTGGAAACAGCCTTTGGAAAGCAATGCCTTGCCACCTTCAAACACAAAAGGACCGTTTTTTTTGCCACTGGCCAGGGATGCTTTTGACCAGGCAGAGGCATCTGCTTCCCTCATGGAGCCGAGGAGCAGAGGGAGGAGATGGGGATGAGCGAGGCAGGGAGAGGAGGGATGCTCGGAGGTGGTGGGAAGCAGCTCAGAAGTGAATCACATTTCCATGTGATGGGTGCAGTTCACACTTTGGAAGAGAGCAGGGGAGCGACCAGAACCTGACTTTTCTAAATATATCAGCCAAGCCAAACAGCTGCCTGGCTTGGAATGGAGACTTCTGACAAGAGGCTGAGCACCCCATGTCCTGCTTCTCCAATGGCGAGGAGGGTTTGGGGGGAGGGTGGGGGGAGGGGGAGGCTGAGACAGGCTCCGGAAGGAGCCTGGAGACTTCTCAGCCTGACTAAGTGCTGATTGGGCCTGGGGAGCACATCGTGGGTCCAGAGAAAGCTGCACAACCATTAAGTTTCTAGGAAGGTCTGAGAGGGTCACAGCAGGCACCCTCTTCCGTTCCAGGGCTGGTGAGCACAGAGGTGGTTGTCTCCCCTGATCTTCCAGATGTGAGTGGTATTCTAATCAGTCTCCAAGTACCATTCTGCTCCCCAGCAAGGGTAGGAATGGGCATTACCTGCCAGTGCCTTGGGCATTTCACCTCATAGACATGGATGCTACTGCT